AAAAAAAAAAAAAAAAGAAACCAGTCCAGTTAGAATCATAATCTCTCAGCTCTAATCCCACGTTTTTAGGCGAGAACATCTGCTTAACACAGCTCAGATCAGGAATCCACTTTCAGTTCAATAAACTGCAGCTAGAGTGCCAGGGGTCACACAAGACAAACATGGCCCTGGGGACTGTGGATACAGAGTGTGGGTGTGGAAACTATAATTCCCGCAGAATACGGTTCATGGGCTAGACTAACCTAAAATGCTGTCCACTCACAAGTTCAAGTGTGCCGGATTGGGTGGTTTCTTTTATCCTGGTTTAGGATGGGAGACTAGAAAAGGTAGATAGCTGGCATGATCCAGGAGTGTGATTTTTACAGAGTAAGTGCCAGCATATTAACAAAAATGTGATTGAAATGACTGACCAAAGATCTGGACTGGGTAGGAAAAGAGGTGAAGCCTGGAAGATACTGATGAACTCTGAGGTGGCTGAGATTCATGATGAATAGAAGAGCTGGTGATATGCTGGGAAGGGGGAATCCGAAAGGGGATTGAATACCGGAGCTTGACTTGTCACTCAACGTGGGCACAGTGCTTATGTTCAAACACTCCCAGACACACATGGCTCTCAAAAGCTGTTATGGGCCCCTTGATGGTGAGTTGTTTTAGAGAGTAGGCCCAACTCCTTCCCTTACTACTCTGAACTTCGGCACTCTGAAACCAACGCTATATTGAAACCGAGGCTATATTGATCCCTCATTTTTTCAGTTACTATAAGCAATAGGTGTAACAAACTAATACTGACACAGTGTTGTGGCCCAGGCTGAGTGGCAAAGTGAGCAGGGGTGGACATCAAAAGGGGCAGGAGTTAGAGAGGCTGAGAGTATGCGAATGTAAATCAACAGCAGCAACAACAAAAAGTTCACTGGGAAACTTCTGAGGCCAGCTTAGGAGGGATAGACATGACATGTTTCTATCACTCAAAGCCAAAGCCTTCTTTTTTTTTTTTTTTTTTGAGATGGACTTTCACTCATGTTACCCAGGCTGGAGTGCAATGGCGCGATCTCGGCTCACCGCAACCTCCGCCTCCTGGGTTCAGGCAATTCTCCTGCCTCAGCCTCCTAAGTAGCTGGGATTACAGGCACGCACCATCATGCCCAGCTAATTTATTGTATTTTTAGTAGAGACGGAGTTTCACCATGTTGACCAGGATGGTCTCGATCTCTTGACCTCGAGTGATCCACCCGCCTCGGCCTCCCAAAGTGCTGGGATTACAGGCTTGAGCCACCGCGCCTGGCCCCAAAGCCTTCTTTATGTGTGCTGTGTCCAGCTACAAAGACGGAGTGAGAAAGCAGAGTAGGTCTAAGATAAGCCTTTTCCCATTAGTGCTGATGGAAAAGAGGGGCATGCGGAAGCCCCAAGACCATTAAGAATGAAGGAGGTCCATTCATGTCTAGGGTTAATAACCACAATTACAGCTTCCATACCGACTGCTTCCTAGTCCCAGGTACTCTGCTGCTTACTTTACATGGATTAGTTGGAATCGGATGAAATTGAAGGTATTTGACTGTTTATAAACTACAAAAATAGCAATTTCATACAGTTCAACCTGACACTATCTCAGTTCATCCTCACCACAATGGCTCCATGAAACACGTATTACTGTCTCCACTTCAAAGAGGAGAAATCAGACCCAAAAAGTGAAAGTCTTTAAGACTGCTCTATTAAGTGCTGAACAAACCCAAGCTTCAGACCCAGATTGACCAGAAGGCCAGGGTGCTTTCCATCACGCTGCAGCTACCAGGGGAGCAAATGAGTTAAATGTAAGAATTCTATTTTATTTTATGTATTTATTTATGTATATATTTATTTGAGACTGCGTCTCTGTCCATATTTATTTGTTTGAGACTGAGTCTCTTCTTTTCTTTCTTCCTTTCTTTCTCTCTCTCTCTCTCTCTCTTTCCTTTGAGACTATTTCTCTACCGTTCAGGCTGGAGTGCAGTGGTGCCATCTCAGCTCACTGCAACCTCTGCCTCTGGCTTCAAGCGATTCTCCTGCCTCGGCCTCCCAAGTAGCTGTGATTGCAGGCGCCCGCCACCACGCCCGGCTAATTTTTGTATTTTTAGTAGAGATGGTGTTTCGCCATGTTGGCCAGGCTGGTCTCGGACCCCTGACTTCAGGTCGTCTGCCTGCCTAGACCTCCCAAAGTGCTGGAATTACAGGTGTGAGCAACCGCGCCCAGCCAAATGTAAGGATTTTTAAAAGCTGGAGATGTTTGACTTCCATTAGCGAACCAGAGAAACCTGCAGTCATCAGGGCCTCAGGACTTCCCATTCAATCTCTTATCTGTCCGCCCGAGCCTCCGGCAAGGGGACTCCCGCCCAGCCTGCAAGCAAACCGGGTTGCCCTCCCTGCTCATTCCTCCCAACCACACGGGGCGCCAAACGCAAGCATTCTCCTCTGGAAGGCTCTCCACGCACCCTCGGAGTCCCTCTTTCTTCTCCACCTCCTCCCCTACCCACGGCGCAGGCGCCACCCCCCGCTCCACACCCCCTCCCGACTAGCCACGGTCGCGCAGGCGTCCCAGGGCTGGCGTCGGCGGCAGAGGCGCGCCCAGGAGCAGGCCGCCAGTCTGTTGGTCAGGAGCGGGCCACGTGCCATGGTGTCACCGCGCGAGTGTGCGCAGAGTGGCTGAGCGCGCCCGTGACGGAACGACGAGGCGTGGGGTGCGCGACCTCGCCCGCCAGGCCCGGCCCCCGCCCCTTGGCCCCCCGCTCCGCCCCCGCGGGGCGTCCCGGGCCGCTCGTCCCGTCGGCGGCGGCCGCGCCCGCGCGCGGCCCGGGGTCGCCGTGAGTACTCGGCCTGTGGGGCCGCCTCCACGGGCACGGGGCGGTGCGGCCGCGCCGCGGGCAGGGTGCGGGGCCCGCCCCGCCTCCGCAGGGGTGGACGAAGTGAGGGATTTGGACCGGGAGGTTCTGAGGGCCCTCCTAGGCTGGACAGGCTTCGCTCAGGCCCAGCGGCCGGGCAGCACAGATCGGGCACAGAGCGTCTTCCCTGGGGAGGCAGTTGTTGGGTGTCTTTGGGGTCTCCAGGGAAACCCAGGAGAACAGCTGTAAGTGCTTCCCCGGGAGAGGCCTCAGGGCCTGTCCTGGAAGCACGGGTACTGGAGAGTATTTTCGGGGACAGCCTTGTTCTCTCTCCCTACGGCATGCCGAAGATAGCGCTAACCTGCCGGAATCGCCCCTTCGTGGTTCTTCCCACCAGTCTTTGTTTAGTGGCCTAGTCCTGAGAAGGGAGCACATGGGATGGAGCGGAGTAACCTCCTCTTCCAGGACCACAAAGCCAGAAGCCCAACCCAGAATTTAAACGTTGAGTTCTAAAGCTGCTTTGGCTAGATGTGAAGTTGTCACACCCAGGGAAGCGCCCATGGACCTAGGGGAAAGACCTTTGTGATCCAGACTTGAGGCTCATTTACATTTGTCTTATTCCCATGGAAATTCGTAAAGTGTTCTATATTAGCTGCTGAGTTTACCACCTTTTCTGGACACTCATCATATAGTCTATTTTTGGCCCAACTTTTTTTGAAAGGTCCCATTCTTTACCTCATTTAGGTAAATCGGATGGGCCTTTCTTAATTCATTAACAACCTAATTAATTATAACCACATCACATGAAGATTAGATGTCATTAGGACCTGTCCAATGTCTTTACGTCCCGGTCCTTCTGCACTCCTAACCTTAAGTGGCTCGACCTCTTTAGGTCTAAGTATCCTATACATAACATGAAAGCTTTGGATTAGGCCACTTTTCCTGCTTATTTTTTAAAAAAGTGTTTGTGATCCTGTAAATTCCATGACCCACCAACTTCCTTTTCCAACGCTTCACCTTTTAAATCCACTTTGCCCCTCTCCAGAGGAAAGGGCATTGAGAGTTGAGGGAGCAAGTCTTTTTCACTAAAGCAGCCTGGTTTGAAAAAGCTGGTAATCTCTGAACTGTCTCTTCCTTGAACAGAAGAACCTCTCTCTTAACTACCTTTTTCTCCTTGTGATAGCAGCAGAAACCAAGCAGCAACAGCCCTTGGAAAGAGGCTAAATTTTTCTTGACTTCTGCAACGACAAAAACCGTGAAAAGTTGGACTTCTGGCCTAACGCTGCCATCATCCTGTCACTCATCCCAAGACAACCCAGGCTGGAGATTTAGTGCCTCCGTCTTTACTCCTCTGTGATCATCCAGATCAGCACTTGACTGTTGATTTGCAAATCTCGCAAACCTCGCCCCCAGATCTTCACATTCTGGTTCTCAGCTGCTCTTGAAGGTGAATGAAGTTTTGCTGTTTAAAATCAAGTTTGTGTGATTTTTGTCTATGTGTAGAAACATTTAGGCTATTGTATATATCTTTCATTTGACTTAAGCATCCAGCAGAGGATTCATTCATTCACTCATTCAAGAAATGTGTTAAGGGACTAAAAATATAAACTGAAAACAGTCAAAGCCTCTGCCACCAGAGGTTACTTTCTGGTAAACGTTGTATATGTTAGAACATGGTAAGTGGAAAAAACTAAAGCTGGGAAGGGGGATAGAGAGTGCTAGTATGTGGGTGTTGGGGTGTTGCTATTTTAATAAATGGGATGGTCAAGGTGGCCTTTGAGCAGAGATCTGAAAGAGTGAAGGAGCAAGCCATGTGGATGTCTGTGTGGAAAGCATTCCAAGAAAGGGGAACAGCAGGGACAAAGGGTGGGAATATGCTTGATGAGTTTGAAGAACAGCAATGAGGCAGTTGGGGAGTCTTGATTAATCTTCCTGTTAACATTTAGAGTTCACTCTGAGTAGCTTCTAATTTTTTTTTTGAGACGGAGTTTCACTCATGTTACCCAGGCTGGAGTGCCATGGCGCGATCTCGGCTCACCGCAACCTCCGCCTCCTGGGTTCAGGCAATTCTCTTGCCTCAGCCTCCTGAATAGCTGGGATTACAGGCACGCGCCACCATGCCCAGCTAATTTTTTGTAGTTTTAGTAGAGATGGGGTTTCACCGTGTTGACCAGGATGGTCTCGATCTCTTGACCTCGTGATCCACCCGCCTCGGCCTCCCAAAGTGCTGGGATTACAGGCTTGAGCCACCGCGCCCGGCCAGCTTCTAATTTTTTTAAAAACCTTTTTATTTTGAAACTTTTCAATTTTACACAAAAGTAGGGAGGTAGGGATTACCAAAAGACCCTCATACATGTCACTTAGCTTCATCAGTAATCAATATTTTGCTGAGGGATCACACTATCAGCTGGAAGCCTCCTATGCTGACTCTGCTCTGGCATTGTGTCTTTTGTCCCCATCCTGGCTCAGTTATCAGACTTAAGATAGTATCTAAGGAATGGACCATAGGTCCTTACAACACACAAGGATCTAGAAGTAGGACAGTGGTTCTCAAATTTTATGTGTCAGAGTAACTTGGAGCGTGTGTTAAAATACAGATTACTGGGTCCCATTTCTGGAATTTCTTTTTTTTTTTTTTGAAAAGGAATTTCGCTGTTGTCTCCCAGGCTGGAGTGCAATGGCATGGTCTCGGCTCACTGCAACCTCCGCCACCCGGGGTCAAGTGATTCTCCTGCCTCAGCCTCCTGAGTAACTGGGATTACAGGCGCTTGCCACCATGCCCAGCTAATTTTTGTATTTTTAGTAGAGACGGGGTTTTACCATGTTGGCCAGGCTGGTCTCCAGCTCCTGACCTCAAGTGATTTGCCTGCCTTGGCCTCCCAAAGTGCTAGGGTTACAGGGGTGAGCCACAGTACCCAGCCTTTTCTGGAGTATCTAATTCAATAGGTCTTTGGAGGAGTCTGAGAATTTGCATTTCTAATGAGTTCCTAGATGATACTGATGCTGCAGGTTCACCAGCCACAATCAGATAATCACTGATCTGGAAACCTGACATTCAGTAGAACTGTATTAGAGACCCATCAGGCACGGTGGCTCACACCTATTATCCCAAAATTTTGGGAGGCTGAGGCGGCGAATCACCTGAGGTCAGGAGTTTGAGACGAGCCTTGCCAACATAACGAAACTCCGTCTCTACTAAAAATACAAAAATTAGCTGAGTGTGTTGGCGGACACCTGTAATCCCAGCTACTTGGGAGGCTGAGACCGGAGAGTCACTTGAACTTGGAAGGTGAAGATTGCAGTGAGCCAAGATCACACCATTGCACACCAGCCTTGGAGACAGTGAAACTTTGTCAGGAAAAAAAAAAAAAAGAACTGTATTAGAGACCAAGAACACCTCTGAAGTTAAAGTAGGTTAAACTGAGATACCTGCAGAGCTAGTGACTTGCTGATCTAGAGAGCAACAAAAAGCTTTTTTAGCCTGCTGTTAGGGTAGCTTTGCTGTCTTCAGCCATTATAAGCCTTCATAATTTAGCAGATGAAGTTTTTGTTTTGTTTTGTTTTTCTGCCATATGTGGAGGTTTTAGTGGGGCCAAAAGTTGCTAGTATAGGATTAGGAGTCTGCAGGATTAGAAGTGAGCAGGGAACTGTATATGAAAGGGCTCTGGATTAAGTGTTTTTCTAAGCATTTTTTTGGATAATTATTGCATTTTTATTTGGGAAGCAGGTTCCAAGATGACTCTAGGACATTATTTTGGCAATGACAACTGAGATCATAGCTGTCAGAGGATGTTTGGTGTTGTTGAGGACTTTTTTTTTTTTTTTGAGATGGAGTTTTTGCTCTTGTTGCCCAGGCTAGAGTTCAATGGTGCAACCTCGGCTCACTGCAGCCTCCACCTCCTGGGTTCAAGCAATGCTCCTGCCTCAGCCTCCCAAGTAGCTGGGATTGCAGGTGCCAACCACCATGTCCAGCTAATTTTTTTGGTATTTTTAAAATAATGAGAGATGGGTTTCGCCATGTTGGCCAGGCTGGTCACCTGACCTCAGGCGATTCCATCAGCACTGGCCTCCCAAAGTGCTGGGATTATAGGCATGAGCCACTGTGCCTGGTCATTGAGGACTTTTTAAGTTAGCTATGATTTCGATATAATAGCTAGTAATACTGATGTTTAAAGAGAGAGAATGGCTCAGTATAGAGAAATAACTAAGGATAAAGAGTCTAGAAAGAATCCAGTTCTGAATCTTAACTCTGGTGTGAGTTGGTACTCTGAAGAATTAACTGATAGGTAAACGTAAGCATCTTATCCTGCCACCGCCACTTTTGGCTTTAGCATTTGTTATGAGCTAGAGCAGGGTCTTGCTCTGATCTCAGCTCTCTAGTTTAAATGGAATAGCAGTATCTTACATATAGTTATATAGTTCATTATCTGTAAAGAACTGCATATGCAAGTGTGCGTATATATGCATGCAAGCATGTCTTTTTATATGCAAGTGTCTGTATGTGTAATAAAATTGTATTCATGGCCAGGCGTGGTGGTTCACACCTGTATTCCTAGCACTTGGGGAGGCTGAGGTGGGTGGATCACGAGGTCAGGAGTTTGAGACCAGCCTGGCCAACATGGTGAAACCCCATCTTTACTAAAATACAAAAATTAGCTGGGTGTGGTGGCGGGTGCCTGTAATCCCAGCTACTCTGGAGACTGAGGCAGGAGAATCACTTGAACCCAGGAGGTGGAGGTTGCAGTGAGCCGAGATCACACCATTGTCCTCCAGCCTGGTCCATAAGGGTGAAACTCCATCTCAAAAAAAAAAAAGTGTATTCATAAATATGTGTGCCTGTATATATACCACCCAGCTACTAAGTGGTGATGAAACCCATTATAATCTACTTTCCACAGGACAGTGACTTGTTACTACCACAACAGCAGAGCCTGCCATCCGCAACAGATCTCCAGTTGCCTCCGACATCACGCCCTCCCTTGTCTCCCTTTGTTGTCTCCTAAATGCCCATCTTGTTGGCCTTGGTTCGGCTGGTGGTATGGAGGGGTGCTGCCTAGCACTGACCTGAAAGTGTGTGTGATCCACTGACCCAATGGTGAGAACTGACTGCCTACCTCTCCAACTGATTGTTCAAAGGGCACAGGAGACAAAGTGCAGATCTCGCCCTTTTTTGGTGTTTTCCTTCTATGTTTTTGGAAGATAGAGTGGCTATTTGAAGTTAAAGGAAAGGGAAGGGGCAGTATTATTTGGTGTGTTTGTGTAGTTGGGTTTTCTTGGGGAGGAAGGGGAGAGTTAAGTACTTTAAAGGATAGAAAGTAATGAGACAAGAGAGCTTAGGTATGCTTGGGAACTGTGTTAGGTAATGACCCTGGAAGAGGCCAGCTTGTACTGGAACTCAGATATGCTTAGGAATCAACCTTGACATTGAAGTCATCTGCATTTTTCTCCTGCTGGCTACCAGAGCCTCTTAATCATCATACTGAGACTTCAGAAGTCCAAAATTCCCTAGATGTTTTCCTCTTTCCCACTAAGTCAGAGCTAGTCTGTGGATATGATCATATCAGGAAGAGACTGAGACTGTCCCAAAGGGTGAGATGAAAGGTGTAAAGGGATTGGGGCTTCAGTTACTCTATCTTTTCCTGATCTTTATGGGAATCTGTTTCCCATCATATCATCCCACCCCCTTCCATGGGATAATAGGAAACTAACAAAGCATGATATCCTTACTTCTCATCACTAGGACATCAAAGGCCAGTTCTGGAATGATGACGACTCGGAGGGAGATAATGAATCAGAGGAATTTCTCTATGGAGTTCAGGTGAGGTTACATCTCCCAAGACCCCCATGTTGGATGGTCTAGATGTGTGCTTCTCTTTGGATACATCAGGAGTGAAAGAGGTTCTGGAGCACAGATGAGGTGAGGATATAATGTTGGTGTGGTCTGAGCATGGTCTTGTCAGAGCTGATCCCATGTCCTTGCTCTTTCTTGGGAGTCATACCTATTCCAGAGTAAACTACATCCTTTGTATGTGGAGACTACCCATATGTTCCTAATTAGACATAATTATTTTCTGACTCTTCCCACACTAGCCAGTGGGAGTAGTTTCATTCATTAGGGCCACATCTTAAAAGATTACTTTGCCATCAACTGTTTAATGCCATGACTACTGAGGACACAGTCCAGAGCAGAAATACTCAGACTCTCAGAATGCTCTTCACATAGAACCAACCTTAGGAAACCTGTAACTCTTCAACTTGTATTGAGTTGTCATAGAAGGTGTCCTGGTCAAGGTCTGAGAGGAAAAGCTGGGGCTTTAAGGAAGTGAACTCCTCAAGCAAAAGCCTACATTTGGTCTGCTGAACCTTTTTAAAGTAATGATGAGATGAAGACTTCTGTTAATGAAATCTCTTGCTAGGGTCACCACTAAGAACCCCTTCACATAAGTGGCTTTCACTTTCCCTATACTTCTGTCTGATTTCTCCTGTTCCTGGTCTCTTCATATTCTTTTTATTATCATCTCTCTCTTTCCTTCGTCTTTTTCCACCTCTCTCCACCACCATTTTTGCTGCTATCTCAGGGGAGCTGTGCAGCTGACCTGTATCGACACCCACAGCTTGATGCAGACATTGAAGCCGTGAAGGAGATCTACAGTGAGAACTCTGTATCTATCAGGTGGGACTCTGCTTCAGGGACAGCTGGGGAACAAGTCACTTCTTTCTGAGGTGTTAAAAGGCTAGAGGTTTATTTTATTTTATTTTATTTTATTTTTTTGTGCCCTGCACCCGGCCCTGGCTGCACACTGTGGGCAGGTTTTTCTTTTTATGGTATGATAGTGGGATAAATTATGAACTTAATGATAGAAAATGCTCAGGATAAATGAGCTTGGCTGATAGTATATAGTAGAGAAGTAAGGCCATTTTTCTTAGGAATTCTCTCTTATCCTAGACCCCTCTGGGCCAGTAGTTTCACCTTTCAGGTAAGAAATGCTTTTGGTCTGGAGAAGGTCTTGATCATGTAAGTGGTGTAAGGCTGTAGCTAAGACCCTAGGTACAAACTGTCGTCCACCCTTTCCTTTCCCCTGTCCGCAGTCTCAGTTCTCTTTCCACCTCAGTTTCTGTTCCCTTCTTTCTCCCTTAATGAGTCTCACCTGTGGTCACCTGTATCTCTATAGAGAATATGGAACTATCGATGACGTGGACATTGACCTCCACATCAACATCAGCTTCCTCGATGTAAGTGGGGCTAATATCTGCCAACAACATGTCTAGCTGGACTGTGGAATTTGTCATGTAGGCCAGGAGTCTTGTTCCTGAGTGCTGTATTTGGAGCACATATTCTTCATCTCTGTCTTTCCCAGACCATCAGCAGACAGTGGTGTGTACTGTCATGATGCATGTGTGTGTCATATAGGGGAAATTTTAGGTCCATTCCTCTATGTTGCTTAAACTGGAAATTATTTCCCTTCTTCTTTTAGGAGGAAGTCTCTACGGCCTGGAAGGTCCTCCGGACAGAACCTATTGTGTTGAGGCTGCGATTTTCTCTCTCCCAGTATCTAGATGGACCAGGTAAAGGCAGTGACTTTGGGAAAGTGGGTGCTCTGAGTGTGGTGTAATCCAAAGCCCTAAGTTAACTGCCATAGAAAGAAATTAGTAACAAAGACCTTGGGCTCAATCTACAGGCCATTGGTAGGGGCTTTTTAGTCCCCTGTAATTGGTGTCTTCATCCCCTGTCACCTGATAACCAATCCCTAAAGGCATTCTTGGCTAATGACATTGTTTTTTTCTGGTTCCAAGATAAAATTTTTTTCTCCTCCTCTTCTCAGCATCCTACTGAGGATATTTCAGATTCATATGACAGCTTCTAGAATCTGCCCTCTGCCTCAGATGTTTTTTTCTTCCACCATTACTGTTTAGAGTACCCAGCAGCCACACTCCTTAGAATCTACAGAAGTTATTCCACTGAACTGTGACTTCGGACTCCAGGAAGATAAGAGATATGCACTTAATAGTAGCCTTCTCTTCTCTTTGCAGAACCATCAATTGAGGTTTTCCAGCCATCAAATAAGGAAGGATTTGGGCTAGGTCTTCAGTTGAAAAAGTAAGAACTTTGGTCTTTTCTGGTCATGGACATGTGAAGGAAGGAAAGAGAGATGGAAATACATGGATGGACAGGGAGAGCCTTGGATGGAATGTCTCCTTCCAAAAATGTCTTTCTGAAATATGCCCAGGAAAAGCTAAAATAAATTTAAGGAGCCAGATTTAAGGTTGTGGAGAGAGAGTGTATGGTTCTTGGGTGTCAGAACTTGAGACTTTCTGGAGATAAAAGAGGCTCATCACTCTTTAGCATTTTTACTACCCTGAAATCAGAGTCATGCTATTTATATTTCTTCCTGTGGTTTCTTCATAATAAGTCTCTAGGAGTTCAGACAATTTTAGCTTATTGAATGTGTTGAGCATTAAGCTGAGTATTTGGTATACAAAGAGAAATGAAGCATGTTTTCCACTCAGTGAAGTTTCAAATAGAGTCCAGTGGATACATATTCTAATACAGGTGAATATGTAAGGTTTAGAAAGGACACAGAAGAGTGATTCAGTCTGATGAAAGGTGGATGATTATTAATTTTTTTTCTTTTCTTTTTTTTTTTTTTTTTTTAAAAATTTTTGTAGAGACAGGGTTTCTCCATGTTGGCCAGGCTGGTCTCGAACTCCTGGCCTCAAGTGATTCACCCACCTCAGCCTCCCAAAGTGCTGGGATTACAGGTGTGAGTCACTGCACCCAGCCAATGATTAATAATTTTCAAGGATGGATAAGAGTTGTCCATGTAGACAGACTCTGAGGGTGAATAACATTTACAGGGGCTTAGTCATATAAAGCAGCATGTGTATAGGGAGCTCCAGATAGTTAAATATTCCTGGTAAAATGCAAGCGGGGGATTATAGGAGCCAAAGTCAGAGAATAGGGAAGGGTTCAAGTTAGAGAGGATCTTGGGCTTTTATCCTGTAGACAGTGTGAACATTGAAGGGTTTAGAGGAAGAAACGACGTGGTCAGATTCATGTTTAGAAAAAACATTCTGGTAGCATTGTACAGAATGGGTAGGAGGGGATGAGACAAGAGACCAGAACTCATATAGTAGGGTGCTTTTGTAAAAGTTGAGACGTGAGATGATGCTAAAGGCCTGAGCTAAAGTGTGATTGTAGGTGAGAATGGAGATGAAAGGCAGATTAGGAAGATTTGTGAGGTATAAAATCGATAAGACTTGAAGACTGATTTAGATATGTTGATTATAATCATAAGGGCCAAAGAATAGTGGAAAAAACTTTTAGGTTTTCAGCCTAGATGTCTGGGTAAATTGTGATACCACCAATGTAAGTAGGGATATGCAAAGGGGGCAGGTTTGTTGGATGAGGATAGATAATTAGTTCCACTTTGACATGTTTTTTAAAGGTAACTTTCGGATATGCAGGTGGAGATGCTTAATCTGAAATGTCAATTTGCTGCTTACAGGAGAGGTTAGGGTTGAAGATAGGTATCAGTGTGTGGGAAGAAATTACAGCCAGTGAATATGAGATTGCCAAAAGAGGGCATGATAGAGGGAAAAGAAGATAGGATCAAGGACGAAATACCCTTAAACACACAAACAAAACTTCAAAGAAACCAGCAGGGTAGGTAGAGGAAGAAGAAACATTGCAGGTAGGTCAGAGTAGAATAGGAAGAGAATAGTGGCCCAGAAGACAAAGGAGGGCAGGTTTTGCAAGCAGGTCCAGATGCCAGAGAAGATATGGGAAGAACCTGGGAGTTTCCATTGGATTTAGCATCAGAATGAGAACAATTTTAGTGGTAAAGGTAGGAACCAGCATATATGGTGAGTGGTTGGCAAGTAACCTAGAAACAATGAGTGTGGATTGAGAAATTTGGGTGGAGATGGGAAGGGAACAAGGAGAGGTTAACTAGACTGAGGTGCAGAAAGTTGACATTTTTTGTAGACTTTGGGAAAGAAACTGACAGGAAAGGGGAATGATTGACACAGCAAGGTCCCTAAAAAGGCATGTCAGGGCTGAGATCTAGAGCACAAATCAAGGGATTGATCTTAGGCAGAAGGGTTACTTTACCTCCAGAAAATGGAGGGATTGAGGTAGGGTGGGAATATAAATAGATTAGCTGATGGCTTAAGAAGGAAGAGAAGTTAGTGGTTGTAGATGAAGTTAGTAACTTAAAAGAAGGTAATAAGGATTTAGAACAATACCTTAGAGTAATGCTAGAGAGAACTGATCAAGGACAAGTGAAACGATTGACAAATCTAGCTAAGGGCACATCTCAGATTGGAAACCATAAATTTGGGGATATAATGTTTCACCTAACAATGTCAGTACCCCTTGTGCCCCTAGTCCCTTTGTTCATGATTCACAGGGAACATGGTGGTACTCACCTCCATCCTACTACTTCTGTTTAACTGTCAACAGTTTAGTCATTTTTGGCAATAGATTTCAAGGTCTGCAGCCTTTGAAGGCTCACCTTTGAAATCTCTCTCTAAAGGCAAAGCATCTCAGAATTTTTCTGGTCCATTAGGCTAGGTGCCCTCTAGGGTAAAGGGGTACTCTGGGACAGTTTTTTTTAATGTACTAAGGTCATTTTAAGGGGTCTTCAGATACACATTCCCCTACCACAACTAGCTTTGCAGTCCCTGGGTCTGAATTTTAGATTATTTACCTCTCTTAGTCCTTATTTCTTAACCCTGCCTCATTTTGCCTAAGCTTGTTCTCTTTGATCCCTCAGGATCCTGGGTATGTTTACATCCCAACAATGGAAACATCTGAGCAACGATTTCTTGAAGACGCAGCAGGAGAAGCGGCACAGTTGGTTCAAGGCAAGTGGTACTATCAAGAAGTTCCGGGCTGGCCTCAGCATCTTTTCACCCATCCCCAAGTAAGTGCTCCCTAAAGCTGATCATCTGTAATCACCTTGTGATAGCCCCCACCCCCACCTTCTTGATTACCTGAACTTATCTTTTCTATCCCCTCTTCCCTGAATTCTGTCTCTTTAACTGCTGATACCACTCATATGGTCCTGTTCCATATGTGTCCTTACCTCCCTACTTCTTACCTGATGTTAATACCTAATCCTTTTTTTTTTTTTTTTTTTTTTTTTTTTTTTTTTTTTTTTTTTTTTTTTTTTTTTTTTTTGATGCTGTCTCTGTCACCCAGGCTGGAGTGCAGTGGTGCAGTCTTAGGTCACTGCAACCTCCACTTCCAGGTTCAAGTGATTCTCCTGCCTCCAAATTAGCTGGGATTACAGGCGCCTGCCACCATGCCCATCTAATTTTTGTGTTTTTATTAGAGACAGGGTTTCACCCTGTTGGTCAGGCTGTTCTCGAACTCCTGAGGTTGCAATCTGCCCGTCTTGGCCTCCCAAAGTGCTGGGATTACAAGTGTGAGCCGCCGCTCCCAGCCAGTACCTAATCCTTTACATAAAACAGAATACCTAACTTGTGATATGTATTTGGAGAAATGTTTGCTGAATTTTTCATCTTTCTTTTCTTTTGCCCTGATCCATTTCCCCATCCTAAGAAGAAAGTGTCAGAGAAGAAGCAGTAATTCCTTGCTAGGTTCTGGAAATAAATACTGCTCCATTCTTTGAGCCCAGGTCTGCATTTTCCCCCTGTGGTGTCTTCTGATATTCCCAAAGGCAGATCCAAACCCAGATTTGTAGCTTCCTGGGAATGATTGTTGAGAGTCAGATAGTCAGTATTAGGCCCTTTGGGATGCAACTACTTCTTGCCTAGCACAGTGTTTAACACTTTATCTCTCTCTCTCTCTCTCTCTCTCTCTCTCTCTCTCTCCCTCCCTCCCTCCCTCCCTCCCTCTCCCTCTCCCCCTCTCCCCCTCTCCTCTCTCTTTCTGTCTCTCTCTCTGTCTATGTCTGTCAGTAAAACAGACAGCCTTTCCAAGGGATTTTTCCATACTGGGATTAGAAACCTTATAACCTTATACTCTGCCTCTGCCCACCCTCAGTGTCCCAGTTTGAAGAACCCACAGATGATGACATAAAAATTTTAATGCAGATACGTGATCTACTTGTTTCAGCAGATACAATGGAACTTTCCTCTTATATGAGTTTGTCTTTCTTTGGTTTAGAACTTTTGGCTTAGGGCTCACTTATCTCCAGTCCCTTTCTAGGGCTCTTAGTAAATCCCCAGTTTTATCACTTCTCTTTGCTCTTGCTCTCCAGGTCTCCCAGTTTCCCTATCATACAGGACTCCATGCTGAAAGGCAAACTAGGTGTACCAGAGCTTCGGGTTGGGCGCCTCATGAACCGTTCTATCTCCTGTACCATGAAGAACCCTAAAGTGGAGGTGTTTGGCTACCCTCCCAGCCCCCAGGCAGGTCTCCTGTGCCCTCAGCACGTGGGCCTCCCTCCCCCAGCACGGACCTCTCCTTTGGTACATGGGCTGGGGAGTGTTTGACTTGGCTATCAGGAGGGTGGGAGTGGAAATGTGGGAGTATAGTTTCTCAAAATGGGGTGGGGGTATGGTTGTCTAGACATCATAAATCAAACCTATGTACCATGAGTGATTAGAATGGAACACTTTTTCTTTGAGACAGGGCCTCACTCTGTCATACAGGCTGGAGGGCAGTGGCGATCTCTGCACACTGCAATCTCTGCCTCCCAGGCTCAAATGATCCTCCTACCTCAGCCTCTCTAGTAACTAGGACTACAGGCGCATGCCACGATTGGCTGATTTTTCATATTTTTGTAGAGACGGGTTTTGCCATGTTGGCCAGGGTATCCTTGAACTCCTGAGCTCAAATGATCCACCTGCCTTCACGTGGGATAACAAGCATGAGCCACCACGCCCAGTGGGAACATGTTTTTTAACAGTAGAAAACTTATCTCTAAGCTGTCAGTCAAGCTTCTCTGATAGCCCATGAAGCAGATGGGAATCTCCCAGAGATGTACTAACTTTACTAACCTATTCCATCTACTTTGAAGGACAGTTAAGGACTGGTGAGCCTTCTTCCAGAGACTTTGGCAAAAACGTCTAAAAGTCTCCTTTTTAGCTTTGGGATTCTGAGCTAGGGTTTAGCTGCTTTGGGAGCAAGAGTCAGGTCTGTCTAGGCCTCGGCTTCATAGGAGGTTCATGGAGCCTGTCTTTTTACTCTTACCAGGTCAGTGGTCACTGCAAGAACATTCCCACTCTGGAGTATGGATTCCTCGTTCAGGTAATCAAGTCAAAAGCATCACTCCAAAGCCCTTCCCTGTTGTCTGACCCATTTGGTCTCCTAACACCTCCCAGATCCTCAGTCAAATACTTCCTGAATTGCTTTGCTTCAGAACTAATGGTAGAAGGAAAGAAGTCATAGCTCCCATCTTCAAGAAGGTGACAGCATTACTAGAAAGACAACACTTACAGACCACTTTATGATCAAGTGGCAATGAGGCACTGCAAATTTTAAGTGTATGGCTGGCAAGACTCATATAACATGAGATGAGAGTGAGATTGACACTAATTTCCTTATGATTCTCAATAGCCCTTGCTCAGGTATCATTAGTATTCCTCACAGACCTCTATCACTGCTCAGCTACTTTTAGTCTTTTTTTGTTTTTGTTTTTTTTTTTTGAGATATAGCCTGTTTCTGTTGCCCGGGCTGGAGTGCAGTGATGTGATCTCGGCTCCCTGTAGCCTCTGCCTCCCAGGTTCAGGCAGTTCTGCCTCAGCCTCCTGAGTAGCTGGGACTACAGGTGCCTGCTGCCATGCCTTGCTAATTTTTGTATTTTTAGTAGAGATCAGTTTTTACCATGTTGGCCAGGATGGTATTGATCTCCTGACCTCGTGATCCACCTGCCTCAGCCTCCCAAAGTGCTGGGATTGCAGGCGTGAGCCACCGTGCCCAGCTAGTCATTTGCCTTTTAAAATATCTTTATTCCCTGGGCATGCTTTCGCTTTTGCATCTCTGTTACTTTTGTTCATGTCATTTCTTATATCTGCCTATTACCATCAAGAGTCATGTGGCACCTTTTCGATAAAATTGCCATTACTCTAATGCATTAACTAGAAGTGACGTCAAAACGCCGTCTCAAAAATAAAATAAAATCAAATAAAAAATAGAAGTGATGTCTCCCCTCACTGAACTACAATTTCTTTTTTTTTTTTTTTTTTTTTTTTTTTTTTTTTTTTTTTTTTTTTTTTTTTTTTTTTTTTTTTTTTTTTTTTATGAGATCTATAAGACCTGTGTCTAAATTCATTGTTTGTAAGTCAAATATATTTTTCAATTTCTTTTGTTTCGTGTTGTTACAATTTTTTTTTGTTTCATATGGCACCTGTGTGCCACATACTATGGGCTGCCCTGAATTGTCATTAATTTATAAACATGCCACATGTCTCCTATTGAAGTTTAACTTCTGAGAAAACAGTCTTTTATTTTATTGCATAGTCAAGAAGACCTTTCACAGAGATGGGTACATAATGGCACTCAGTAAGTGCATTAAATGAATAAAGCCCTTGTATGTCCCATTACCAACCTAAAATCATATGAAATGGGAACAACTTGATTTATGCACAAAAGCTATATGGTGTCAAAAAAAAAAAAAACACTTTAGGATATTGCTGCATTAGCTCTGGATTTTGCCATCTTCCCAGCACAGAGTTGTCTGTGGTTTTAACCAGTGGACTGGCCATTTGGTCTGGGTAGTTGAAATGGCTTCTCAGGACCTTCAGCCATCTAATCATGGACTGAATGCTCTCCAATCTCAGAGGGACAGCCTATAATTACAAGTACGTTTAATAGTTTCATTAGCACCCATTTTATTTTTTTAAGATACTTACACAGGCCAGGCCTGGTGGCTCACACCTGTAATCCAAGCACTTTGGAGGCCAAGGTGGGCGGATCACGTGAGGTCAGGAGTTTAAGACCAGCCTGACCAACATGGTGAAACCCCATCTTTAAAAAAATAAAAATTAAAAAATAAGATAAAATACTTACTTGGAAATCATTTCACTTGCAATACCCAATGAGGTGAATAATGCTCTGCTATATAAATGAAGAAACTAAGGCTGAGGTTAACTGACTTGCTGAAAGTTACATATACTATTAAGTATTAGAGGTAGTATGTTAACCCAGGACTTCTCGATCAAACATCATGGTCTTATTTATACTATACCATACAGTCTTATCTCTGCAGTCAGGCCATCAGTTTAAGTACACAGCTTAAGAATATATTCTACCTTAGTCATGGGGCTGGGAGGGTAGAGGGTAGGTAGCTGGGAAAAAAAAATCCTGAAATTATTTCCCGTATCTGTGTGTGCCTGTACTTCCAAAATACTTAGAATCTGTTCTCTTCCCAGATCATGAAGTATGCAGAGCAGAGGATTCCAACATTGAATGAGTACTGTGTGGTGTGTGATGAGCAGCATGTCTTCCAAAATGGATCTATGCTGAAGGTATAGGTCCCTACTCTATGATCCTCTTCCTTAGCCAGGTCCCCTTTATTCCCTTCTTCCTCGGTCTGTGGTCAAGGTAAAATTCTGTCTGTACTCCCTGAGACTCTAGAAATTGTTGATTTTTCTCAGAAAACAAATCTCAGCAGTACTGTTTAGAGAAGCGAGGATATGAGAATATTTATTTAGGATAGAGTCCACCTAACATTTAAAAATGGGAATCAGATATTGACCAAGATGATTGAATATGATGCTGTGCTCAACGACTCCAAGTCCAGATGGGAGACACTTAACTTTAAATCGCAATGTATATTAAGTGTATAGAAGAGATATTAGCAGTGTTAAAAATCAGGAGAGAGAGCTGCTGACTACATAGGAAGATCAGGGAGGGCTTCATAGGGGAGATGGTGTTAATTCCCAAACTTATCAGTAAGGCATTTTATTTAACTTTATCCATAGTTTTCTCCTGATATAGAGGGCCCCAGGTTCCTACCCTGTTTTAGAGTTGTCCAAGGTCAGGACTGTTTCTCTCTGCCTACACCTTATTGCACACCCCATCCCACCACCATCTGTTTAATATATCCTTTCAGCCAGCTGTCTGTACTCGTGAACTGTGTGTCTTCTCCTTCTACACACTGGGCGTCATGTCCGGAGCTGCAGAGGAGGTGGCCACTGGAGCAGAGGTATGGGAGAGGGAAAAGCAGCTAGAGAATTGGGATCAAGAAAGACACAGGAACCCAGCAATTTCATTCTTGGAATTTAACTTCCAAAAATGCTTTTGTATTTAAGGATATCCACTGTAGCATTGTTTGTAAAATGAAAAATGGATACAACCCCATCTGTAGGGGCTCCATTTAAAGAAATCATGAGATGTCCTTAGAGTGAAAATACTATGTAGCTCTTACTTATGGATAGGCAATTGTAACATACAGTTGTATAAAAAAGCAAATCAACAGTATATGTAGTAAAATTGTCCATATGAGAAAATAATGGGCTGAGCACAGTGGCTCACACCTGTAATCCCAGCACTTTGGGAGGCTGTGATGAGAGGATGGCTTGAGCTCAAGAGGTCGAGGCTGCAGTGGGCCATGATCACACCACTGCACTCTAGCCTGGCTGACAGAGTCATCCCTGTCTCTCTAAAGAAGAGAGAAACCTGGCTGGTCTGAAGGTAGTGTATTATCTCAATTGATTGTTCACAGTCAGTTACAGATTGAACTCCTTCTGCTACTCTTTTCCACCTTCTCACTACTGCACTTGACTAGTCTAAAAAAAAAAAAGAAGATAAAAAAGAGCGAGAGAAAAGAAAATATTTCCATAGGAAAAATATCTGGAAGGATGTACATCAAACTCACTAGTACGTATCTATGAGGAATGAGATTAGTTTGAGGGCAGGAGGATGGTCTTTTATCTTTTCTTTAATTACTTTGGTGTATTTGAATTTTTACGAGCTGTGTTTTTCTATTTTAAAAGACCTTAAACATATTTGCTTTTTAAAGGAGGATCAGAGAGAAATGCTGGATACTGTGTGACTCCCAGTACTGGGAAATCATTTAGCTTCTGCCCCCTTTTTTTCCTTTCCTCTAAGGTGGTGGATCTGCTAGTGGCCATGTGTAGGGCAGCTTTGGAGTCCCCTAGAAAGAGCATCATCTTTGAGCCTTATCCCTCTGTGGTGGACCCCACTGATCCCAAGACTCTGGCCTTTAATCCTAAGGTACGTTACTTGAGAAAGTCAAGGCTAAGGAACAAAAATGGTAAAAGATAGTGGGAGACTATGGGCTGTCATTCTGGTATATACAAGGCTTGGAGTAAGGGACAGAACTCTTAAACTCTGTGATTTAGCTGCTTCAGTAAGTAAAAAGCCGAGTTTGTCCCAGAAAGAGGAGAGGAATTAATATTAGTTACATTATGATAGGGAAGAAGGGCTTTTGGAGACAGACCTGGATTCCGGTTGAGATTCTGCTACTCCCCAGTTGAAGGGCATTAGGCAAATCACTTAACCTTTCTAAACTTCAATCTTCTTATCTTATTAAAAAAAAAAAAGGAATAATATTTATTTTGCAGATCATTATACAAATGAGAGGTAACATATGTAAAATACTGTATTAGGGTTTTCCAGAGAAACAGAAACAATAGGAGATATATATATAGAGAGAGAGAGGGAGAAAGAGGTTTATTGTAAGGAAGTGCCTCACATGATTATGGAGGCTGAGAAGTTCCAACATCTATAGTTAGCAAGCTTCAGACCCAGCAGAGCCAGTGGTATAGTTCTAGTCCCAGTCCCAAGGCTTAAAATTTAGAGAGCGGGCTGGGCGCAATGGCTTCCACCTGTAATCCCAGCACTTTAGGAGGCCAAGGTGGGCGGGATCACTTGAGTGGATTCAGGATTTCAATACCCGCCTGGCCAATATGGTGAACCCCCATCTTGACTGAAAATATAAAAAATTAGCCAGGCCTGGTGGTGGGCACTTGTGGGAGCCTGAAGTGTGAGAATTGCTTGAACCCGAGAAGCAGAGGCTGCGGTGAGCTGAGATCACACCACTCTACTCCAGCCTGGGCGACAGAGCGAAACTCTGCCTCAAAACCAAAAAATCAGAGCCAGTGGTGTAAGTTCTAGTTTGAAAACCTGCAGGCTCAGCATCTAAGAAGAGCCAATTTTTTTTTTTTTTTTTAGTTCAAATCCAAAGACTGATAATCCAACTCAAGCAATCAGGCAGGAGGAGTACTTAACAAACTCAATGTGGGGGGTTGGGGGGGGTGGCGGCAGAGGAGTCAGCCTTTTTGTTCTATTCAGGTCATCAATTGATTGGATAAGTCCCTTCCACATTAGGGAGGACAGTTTGCTTTACTCAGTCTGCTGATTCAAATGTTAGCCAGAAACACCCTCACAGATACACCTAGAAATAATGGTTGACCAAATGTCTGGGTACCTCATGGCCCAGTCAAGTTGACACACAAAATTAACCATAACAAGTACCCAGCATAGTACCTCACTATTATTGCTGTACCAAGTTCTTTGTATATGTTATTTAATCCTCAGAACATCTCTGTGGGGGTAATAGGGATTGTTATCTTCATTTGCTTAAAGGGATGCTAAAGGTTCTCAGAGGCCAAATAACTTACCCTACTAGTCACAGCTAGTAAAAGAGAACTAGCATGTGACCTCAGAACTGTCTGACATTATGTTCTTTCCATGACATACTGTTGTTTCCTTGGACCTAGACTTTTTTTGTACATCTAGCCCTCCTTTTCATCACATCTTACTTTCCTCCACTTTTCTTTATCTGGTTTTTCTCTTCACGTTGATTCTCCACAGAAGAAGAATTACGAGCGGCTTCAGAAAGCTCTGGATAGTGTGATGTCCATTCGGGAGATGACCCAGGTATTCTGCCTTCTCTCTGTTCCCTCTCCTCTGCCTGCCCAGCTCAAGTGTCCTATTCTGTTTGTAGTTTGTGGGAGTGGGATGAAGATTTGGGGAAGCTACTCACTGTATCTTTTTTTAGTCTTTCCTCTTTAACCTTCCCAATTCTTTTTCTATGTTTCGTTTGCTCTGTTACTACTCTCTTCAGTCTTAGTGTCTCAGTCTTTACCTTGGCTGCTAATTCCTTTACAAATTGTTCATATTTAATGTTTTGCCGTAATTCTTAGGGAGTTAGGGAAGTGAAGAAAAGACCTCTGCCCAGGGTTAGGTGGGGCAAGGAGGATGGAGGGACTTGGAGGTAAGGAACTAGACACAGGGGCCTACATCTTCTATCCTTCTAAGGATGGGGCAGCCACATGGAGCAGTGACCATCCTTTGGTGAAAGCTGTTCCTCACCAGGCCAGGCGCAGTGGCTCACGCCTGTAATCCCAGCACTTTGGGAGGCTGAGGCAGGCAGATCACAAGGTTGAGATCCAGATCATCTTGGCCAACATGGTGAAACCCCATCTTTACTAAAAATATAAAAATTAGCTGGGCGTCGTGCGCGCTTATAGTCCCAGCTACTTGGGAAGCTGAGGCAAGAGAATCACTTGAACCCAGAAGACAGAGGTTGCAGTGAGCTGAGATTGCAGCACTGCATTCCAGCCTGATGACAGAGCGAGACTCAGTCTCAAAAAAAAAAAAAAACAAAAAACACGCTGTCCCTCACCAGACTTCCCTACCCCTCATCTACAATATCTGCATGGATAGACATTCATTTGTACTCATTTACAGGTGGGCCTTTCCTCAGCAAATCCTGTATGTCACAGCTGAGATTTACACATAAACTTTGCTTTATTTAAAGATTTGCCACAGGATTCTTTAGCCTAATCTTCCTGGATCATTGATTTTATTTATTTTTTGATTTACAATCAACTTTTTAGGATTGTACGAATTGCATAAAATGAGGGAGACCCACCTGGATGTTGTTTTGTAAGCATCTGTTTATGAGTCTTCCCAGCCTGACTGGGGCTGCTTGAGAGTGGGAACCCTGTCTCCTTTTTCCTCTATGTGGTCTTTGGTGTCTACCTTGCCCTGGACCCTAATAGTCACTCTGTAAAAAGCAGAACGTCAGAGGGCTCCCACCTCTCTGGGGAGATAACCTTATGGCCATTGTCTTACAGGGCTCATATTTGGAAATCAAGAAACAGATGGACAAGTTGGATCCCCTGGCCCATCCTCTCCTGCAGTGGTATGGATAGAATGGCTCATCCTTCTTGGGTTTTGGGGAGGGAGGGAGTTACTGCACATGGAACCTGTACCTTCTTTTAGTGGTGGTTTCAATATCCTTTCCAAGGTTATAGGCAGTAATGGCACTCTTTCTTGGAGTTTATTGATATACCCTGCCTTGAAAATAACTCACATCTATAAAAATCCCACACATTCTGACATGATTTTTCTTTAAAAAAATTTTTTTTAAATCTTAATTGTTTCCTTTTTTTTGAGACAGGGTCCCACTCTGTCGCGCAGGCTAGAGTGCAGTGGTACGATCCTGGTTCACTGTAGCCTTGCCCTGTAGTGCCCAAGTGATCCACCTCAGCCTCCCCAGTAGCTGGGACCACAGGCATGCACCACCACACCCAGCTAATTTTTTTATTTCTTTTTATACAAATGGAGTCTCCCTATGTTGCCCAGGCCAGTCTTGAACTCTTGGGCTCAAGTGATCCTCCTGATAGACCTCCCAAAGTGCTGGGATTATAGGCGTGAGCCACGATGTGCAGCCAACATGATTTTTCATGTTCTCTTCAGGTGTTCCTTGTTTCCCAGTAGGTTTTGTTGTTTGTTTTCCTTTTCGGTTTGTTTTCTTAATTTATTTTTTAAATTGACAAATAGAAGTATATATTGTGTACCACCTGTTTTAAAATATGTATACATTGTAGATTGGTTCAGTAGAGCTAATAAGCATATGCATTATCTCACATACGTATTTTTCGTGGTGAGAACACTCATCTAATCTCACAGTGATTTTCAAGAATATTACGCATTATTACTAACTATAATCACCACCAATAGGTTTTTATGTCTTTTGAATGTAGGAATTAACACTATTAATTTCAACTAAGTTTGCTATGCATCCAGAGAGGTCTGTTTACCCCTACTATCCCCTTGCCCTGTCTCTGGGCCTCCTTGATGATACAGAATGTCTAGAGCCTTGAGGCACTATTGCTGTGCTCTTCTCCTAGCCAAGATTTTGACTGTTCCCTGCTGCCCTCCCTTCCTGATCTCAATTTCTATTGTTTTCCTGACATAGCTTTCCCTTTCTAGTTTGCCTCCCTCCTAGTCAGCCTTCAGTACTTCCTCAGTACAACAGCTTTCTCCCTGTTAGTCTGAGGAATAACTAGGTGTCAACCATTTGGGGTGGCATCATAAGTACACAGATGAGGCACAAAAAACAAAGACAGCCGGGCGCGGTGGCTCAAGCCTGTAATCCCAGCACTTTGGGAGGCCGAGGCGGGTGGATCACGAGGTCAAGAGATCGAGACCATCCTGGTCAACATGGT